GCCCCCCCCCCCCCCGCCTCGATATCGTGAAACACGAGCTATTACTACACATAGGACACGTACGTGACACACGGTGGTAAGAGCAAAAGAAACACGCGACGCGAACGAGTATTTCCAGTAACTACGCGGACGTCCACGTTCTCTTAATTTCCCGGTGCTCGATAACGCGAACGTTGAACCGAATCGCGCAGCCGATCGCCGACAGATGCATCCGGGACCACCGGTTACGCTCGATCGGAGCATATTATTAGCCAGCACCGCCGTAGAACCGAGTCTACTTGTTGCTTTTGGTTCATGCTAATTAACTACTGGGCAAGGATGTCGAAAGGTGATAGCAGATCCGCGTCTGTCTCGCGAAGATTGTCTCGCCCGCGTGTACCAGTGACTCACACGCCGAGTGAATCATACCGAGTTCATGCGCTCCAGAATGCTTGCCGGTCGCCGATCATCGTCAGTATTCGTACTTTCTATATATATATATATATGTCGAAAGATATAACCCCGATCCTGCAGGCCAAATGATCGATCTCTTTTTTTTTTTTCTGTGAATTTCCTTTCGTTTCATTATTCATACACAATTAAAAACCTGATTTATTTAGTCGCAATAATGGAATCATTAAATAAATAAAGATGAAGTGAAAGAGCTTATATTTTTAAACCAACATCGATCGAACAATCGAATTATCTCATGCGAGCTGTTCGTGATGCAATAAAAACGTCCTCGCGTCACCATTATCATTTACTTTCATCATCGTTATTCCATTAAACGTACATTTGGCCCAGTGGATTAACGCACAGCGAAAAGCACGGTATTGCATATTCCGTTTCGCGAGAGGACTCGATTCGCTTGAAAGATGGTTCGCACGGTTCACGTCGCCCCGGCTCGAGGAAAATTTGATTTTTCTGTAACTCAAAGGCCTGCACGCCACCGTAGGGTCAACCACCCTCGTGGTTCGCGTGCCACCCCGTGGTACCCGCTACATCGACCCGTGTATATACGTACATATTGCATTCGTTATTTACGTGACATCGATAAACTTCGCCTATAATTCTCAACTCAGTCTGTGATTTTTCGCGAGGACCGATTTTCTCCTCGCGTTTCCACGTGTAACAATCACAGCGGAGGGGATCATTAGCTTTCGCACAAAAATTTGTACTATATAGTTATAAAGTGGTTAAGTTAAAAGTAAAGTTAAGCATAATATAATATAAAATAGCGACATAAGTAAAGTTTCTTATAGGTTTGATCACAAGAGTAGGTAGTATTGAAACGTGAGCTTTGGTTTGTTAATTGATCAGACATTATCACACTGGCTAATAACAAAATGAAGTCGAAGAGTTCATTTGAAATAAATTTACGGCGCCAAAATTTGTTAAACTGTAAAATAAGAAACTATGT